GCAATCAGCTCAGGATCTGGAGGAGCTCATGGGGTAGGGTCGTGTTAAGAGTGGAAAATCATGCATCACAGGCCAGTTGGACAGGTGATGGACATGGGAAGGGAGTGACTTATACAGTAATGGGGCTCAGATCCAGGGACCCCAGGACACTATCACAGGGCAGCCACTCCATTGTGCTTCCACCTGCCATTCATCATTTGCTCTGTGCTGTATTAGTTCTTTAAGTTTTATTAATTCTTTACTACTGCTCCACCTAGTAAATGGACCATTTATTCGGTGTTGAAAGATCGGTTTTTTATTAGGAGATTTCCATTATGAGCTTAATTTTTTTTTCTCCAGGTGGCCTTTTGCCAACTCTTTCCATTATGCATGTACTTTCATTTTCCCCACCAGCAAGACTGCAGGTTCCTCATAGCAAAGACCATGCTTTAAATTTCCTTCCTGTTCTGCACTATAGTGAGCATATGGTAATTATCAGACGGTTGCTCATGGTATCCACTGCAATGCAAGTTGCTCTCTGCGGTTAAGGTCATTTGTCAAGTCTCCGTGCACCCACCTTTTATACCTACCTATAAATCCCATCTCCAGTCTTTAGGGGCGGATGGTGACTGCATTGATGCTCACTTGCTTTGTGGCAGAAAGAAAGCTTTGACTTCTTTAGAAGACAGCTGTGTCATTGAGGGTGGACAGCCTCCTCATTTCTCCTCCTACACCCCTGTTGTTTTATTTTGGTGATTGCAGTGTTGGAGGTGTGAAAAAGAAAATCCAGAATTGCTCACTGGCAGGACAAAGTATGAAGCAGTGAGTTAAAACCTCTCCAATCCTCACCTCTGAACTCTGTGTCATACCCAGCAAGCCAAGGGATTTTCTTTTAAAAAACTTTTCTCTGGAGCATGCTGTTTGCCACCTAGAATTTGCTATGATCATATCAGCCAAGCATCACTTCTTGGGGTTACCAGCAAGTTGTGGAAATAACTTTGTGAGAAACTTCTTTTCGGTTTGTTCACTGAAATGGTTGTGTGTCGGTGTATCTGTGGTACGCTGCTTGTGAGAGCAACACTTTTGTTCTTCACGAGTCCCCATGTAGGAAAGACATGTACTGGCTCATGGGATTCAGGGAGGGGGCAGGGTCCATGGGGGCCAGTGCCATCCTTCAGGTGCTCTTTTTTTCCTTTTTATCTTTTACTCATTGAAATATAAGTGACCTATAAGATTGTTTTATTTTCAGGGGTACAACATAATGATCTGAAACATGTATACATTGTGAAATGATCAGTGCCGCCGAAGGCTGTCCCTACGCATAGTTACAGAGCTTGTTTTTCTTGTGATGAGGACTTTACAGACCTACACTCGTAGCAACGCTTAAATATTGATCACAGGATTATTAACTAGAGTCAGCACGCTGTACGTGACGTGCCCGGGACGTACCTGTTTATTGCCGGCATCTTGCATCTCTTGGCCCCCTTCACGCTTTCATCTACCCTGCCCGCTGCCATCCTGCCTCTGGCCACCACCTGCTGTTCCATGGGCAGCCAAAGCTTCCGTTCTTTACCAACTTGTTGTCTTTCTTCTCCTCCGCCATTAGGACATCAAGTTGGTGTGTCTGACAAGCAGAAGACCTAGAAATCAGACTTCTCTTCCCATTCTGCATGCCTGTATCAAAACATTTTGAGTGTTCATTCCTGTCCCACGAGAAGAGCACTAACATGATTGATGTTTACAGAGGGCAGAGTGCTGCTGAGATCTGTGTGTGTGTGTGTGTGTGTGAGAGAGAGAGTGAGTGTACGTGTGCGTGTAGAGGGGAGAAAGGAGCAGAATGGTGAGACCATTTGGAGTGCCAGGGATATGTTAGGAATGTGCTCTCGTGGGCCAACTTTTTGGCAATAGGCTGGGTTTCTGACCTGTGGCTCAGACAGGGTGGTCGAGGGAGATCGCAGTGCTCATTCACCTCCATCCTGTGCCATTTAGTGGTGCCACGGGGCAGGGTTTCAATGCCACTTTCCAGAATACTCTCTAGGAACTCCTCATGCCTGATGGAGGTGATATTTTTCTGCCTGGCTCAGTGTGTTCTAAGGAAGTAGGAACTGGCATTATCAGATGAGTAGTCTTCCTGTCCTTCGATGACCTCATCCTTTATCAGTGGTGAGAGGCCTGTGATTGCCCCACAGGCTCTAATACCTGGCAGGTACCTGTCCTCCCCGTCTACTTGTAAACCATGGAACGGGAAATGAGGACTTTTGGAGATAAATTGATTCTCCTGTCTGGAGATTGGGGTTATTTTAGCCAATGAAAGTCAGTTCCAGAGCTCATGTGTGATATGATTGAAGAATTAAAGAAGGCCCATGTAATTGAAGGTTATCATTTTGGGGGTGGGGAGAGGTCCAGTATGCAGACTGATGTTTCCCTAGGACCCTCAAATGGGAGAATTACTGAGGGTTAGTCTTTCTGCTGTTGTTAATCACCCATGTGACAGTGGCTCTGAGAGAATCAAGGAACCATCCCATTTCATCTTGTCATCTGAGGTCTTGTCAATTTGCAAGACTGTCCACGGGCCTGAGTTTGAATTGGTGGTACCATGGGGGTTACTTTGCTGCTTACAGTGGTAAAAATTGCATGCGATACAATCTAGTGGCTGGAAAGCTGTCTTTGGGGTCTTGCCTTTTGGCTTCATCTTCTCTTGTCATTATATTCACTGGAACTTCTAGTGACTGAACTGCCTTGAACAGGAACCAGGAGAGGCCTGGCTTCCAGCAAATTCCATTCTGTAGTGTTGTCTCCTAATGAGGTCAGAGAGCATTTTTTGGTGCACTAGGTGGCTACGAGAGAATTAAAGGCCCATTTGGACCCTCTCAGAGAAAATCCAGCTCAGACACTTAGTGTAAATAGAAGTGGAGCATACATTTGCCTGGATACCCTTATCTCATTACCTTAGTTCTCCATACTTAGATGCACAGGCTGGTAGCACTGGAAATAGATGGAGACATTGAGATTCCACCCAACAAAGCCACAGTCCATGAGAAACTTCTTTTCGGTTTGTTCACTGAAATGGTTGTGTGTCGGTGTATCTGTGGTACGCTGCTTGTGAGAGCAACACTTTTGTTCTTCACGAGTCCCCATGTAGGAAAGACATGTACTGGCTCATGGGATTCAGGGAGGGGGCAGGGTCCATGGGGGCCAGTGCCATCCTTCAGGTGCTCTTTTTTTCCTTTTTATCTTTTACTCATTGAAATATAAGTGACCTATAAGATTGTTTTAGTTTCAGGGGTACAACATAATGATCTGAAACATGTATACATTGTGAAATGATCAGTGCCGCCGAAGGCTGTCCCTACGCATAGTTACAGAGCTTGTTTTTCTTGTGATGAGGACTTTACAGACCTACACTCGTAGCAACGCTTAAATATTGATCACAGGATTATTAACTGCAGTCAGCACGCTGTACGTGACGTGCCCGGGACGTACCTGTTTATTGTCGGAATCTTGCATCTTTTGGCCCCCTTCATGCTTTCATCTACCCTGCCCGCTGCCATCCTGCCTCTGGCCACCACCTGCTGTTCCATGGGCAGCCAAAGCTTCCGTTCTTTACCAACTTGTTGTCTTTCTTCTCCTCCGCCATTAGGACATCAAGTTGGTGTGTCTGACAAGCAGAAGACCTAGAAATCAGACTTCTCTTCCCATTCTGCATGCCTGTATCAAAACATTTTGAGTGTTCATTCCTGTCCCACGAGAAGAGCACTAACATGATTGATGTTTACAGAGGGCAGACTGCTGCTGAGATGTGTGTGTGTGTGTGTGTGTGTGTGTGTGTGTATGAGAGAGTGAGTGAGTGAGTGAGTGTACGTGTGCGTGTAGAGGGGAGAAAGGAGCAGAATGGTCAGACCATTTGGAGTGCCAGGGATATGTTAGGAATGTGCTCTCATGGGCCAACTTTTTGGCAATAGGCTGGGTTTCTGACCTGTGGCTCAGACAGGGTGGTCGAGGGAGATCGCAGTGCTCATTCACCTCCATCCTGTGCCATTTAGTGGTGCCACGGGGCAGGGTTTCAATGCCACTTTCCAGAATACTCTCTAGGAACTCCTCATGCCTGATGGAGGTGATATTTTTCTGCCTGGCTCAGTGTGTTCTAAGGAAGTAGGAACTGGCATTATCAGATGAGTAGTCTTCCTGTCCTTCGATGACCTCATCCTTTATCAGTGGTGAGAGGCCTGTGATTGCCCCACAGGCTCTAATACCTGGCAGGTACCTGTCCTCCCCGTCTACTTGTAAACCATGGAACGGGAAATGAGGACTTTTGGAGATAAATTGATTCTCCTGTCTGGAGATTGGGGTTATTTTAGCCAATGAAAGTCAGTTCCAGAGCTCATGTGTGATATGATTGAAGAATTAAAGAAGGCCCATGTAATTGAAGGTTATCATTTTGGGGGTGGGGAGAGGTCCAGTATGCAGACTGATGTTTCCCTAGGACCCTCAAATGGGAGAATTACTGAGGGTTAGTCTTTCTGCTGTTGTTAATCACCCATGTGACAGTGGCTCTGAGAGAATCAAGGAACCATCCCATTTCATCTTGTCATCTGAGGTCTTGTCAATTTGCAAGACTGTCCACGGGCCTGAGTTTGAATTGGTGGTACCATGGGGGTTACTTTGCTGCTTACAGTGGTAAAAATTGCATGCGATACAATCTAGTGGCTGGAAAGCTGTCTTTGGGGTCTTGCCTTTTGGCTTCATCTTCTCTTGTCATTATATTCACTGGAACTTCTAGTGACTGAACTGCCTTGAACAGGAACCAGGAGAGGCCTGGCTTCCAGCAAATTCCATTCTGTAGTGTTGTCTCCTAATGAGGTCAGAGAGCATTTTTTGGTGCACTAGGTGGCTACGAGAGAATTAAAGGCCCATTTGGACCCTCTCAGAGAAAATCCAGCTCAGACACTTAGTGTAAATAGAAGTGGAGCATACATTTGCCTGGATACCCTTATCTCATTACCTTAGTTCTCCATACTTAGATGCACAGGCTGGTAGCACTGGAAATAGATGGAGACATTGAGATTCCACCCAACAAAGCCACAGTCCTTTGGGGCCATGAGTCTGAGGTGTTCATTTGTGCCTGGAACCCTGTCAGTGATCTCCTAGCTTCCAGGTAAGGATGTGAAGCTGGGGGCACTCCAGGGTCTGGGGGACCAGAGGTGCTTGCTCTTCTCGGGCATTCTGTGTCCTAGGCCATCCGCCTGATGGCATCTTCTCCATACACGCAGGACCAGGCTTGGGGCACTCCATCTGCACTCCTCCAGATACCGTAGATTGTGGGGAGGCCCGCGTTCCAAGCCCTGTTCTCAGTGGGGCGGGGAATGATGCAAACACATTTAAAATCGCTGAGTGCAGCACAGCCAGTGAGGTGCAGGATGAAATGCCACAGGCCAGAGATGCCTGGCTAGTCCGACAGCAGGCGGCAATGGGCTTTGGTGCCCCTTGCCTGAAAGCTGAATGCTTGAGTGTTTTCATCCTGCAGATCTGGAGATTCAACTGCAAGGATATGGAACCTTAATGAAAACAGCAACAGGGGTCCACACAGCTCGTGTTGAGGCACTGTATACGAGAAGGAGGCCACGAGGTCCCGAGTAACAAAGACGTGACCTCGCTGGACTGGAACGTAAGAGCCGTGCGCACACCAGGCCCCATTCATCAGCCTGCCCCGGGGTGGCTGGTGCTGTGGGTGCTGTCTGTTTCTGAGGGCTCCTGAGGACGTGGGACTAGGCAGGCGGCTACCTGGGTGTTAAGTAGCTGTTCCCTTTCCATCGTTAACCTATATTTGCCAGCTGGTTTTATTAGGGAAGCCTCACAGCGGGAAGCAGGGCCAAGGGGACCCGAGATAGTCGTGCTGGGGAGACGTAATACACAGGCAAGGAAGGCCGGATCTCCACCTGGGCTTTTCAGCAGAGAGTGTTGTGTGCATTTGTGGGAGGGACGCACATACCTCTTCACTCTTATACAGTATTTCTCCACATTCTGGCACCTCACCACCAACGCTCCGCTTCTCTATATACAAATATATTTTTAAAGTTTACCTCAAGTCTCCAGAAGTCTTGGAACTTCCGATGTGGTGTTTTTAATCGTGTCTTCACAGGTGAATGGTGGTGGTGTCTCTTCCTGCTGCCTCATCTCCTTGGGGCTAACGGCTTACATTTTAATTTACGAGCAGCAGGAGTGCAAGTACTCAAATGCAATCTGTGAGGCTCTGAACTGGGAACCACTTACTGGCGGAGGCGCATTCTAGCTGGGCCATAAGGGGAGAGGCCCTCTGCCTTTTCAGAGCTGCCCATCAGCAGTTCTTGTTGGCCTGTTTCTTCCAGAGCGACGGGACACTGTTGGCCACAGGCTCGTATGATGGTTTTGCAAGAATATGGACGGAAGATGGTAAGTCCTGCCTCGCTCTCACTGGGGTCTGGGTGGGGGGTGCTTTGGCACGCTGTCACGGAGAGGATGGGCTGTGACTCTGATGCTAGCATGTTTGTTTGGTTTTTCTGTGTGACAGGTAACCTGGCCAGCACCTTAGGCCAACATAAAGGCCCCATCTTCACCTTGAAATGGAACAAAAAGGGGAATTACATTCTGAGTGCAGGTGTGGATAAAGTGAGTATCACTTCAAATACAGCCCTTTGATCTCTAGATGCTCATTTATTGTTGATCTCTGCGTTACCGTGTGGTTTTTTTTCTATTCTAAGGAGCTCTGCTTCCTGTGAACATATCAAAAGAACTTGTTTGGGCCTTGTCTGTTTTTGTGATCTTCTGCTGCTTTTAAAAACGCGTCCTCTCTTCACGTGTTCTGCATCCTCCAGAACTTCACACAGAGATCCCCCTCCTTTTCTGGGGATATATCGTCAGTGATAAGAGGAAATCCCCAAACTGTGTTTATCCAATGCTTGAAGAAGCAAACAGATGTGGTGTGAACTCTTTGTAAACTTTGACATGCTGAGTGATTTCAGTAGCACCAATTGTTTTCTGGACCAGGCTTCTGTTTTCCTCATTTGATGCATTGCTACTTCCCACTGTAGATGGCAGATTTCTCTGAGAACAGGAGTCAAGCCAACACACACACACACACACACACACACACACATGCCTCCAATGAGAGCCTGCAGAGCAGACAGAGAATTTACTTTGTGCCCGGGAGGGGCTGCCAGGCGGACATGATGATGTTATGTCCGAGTGACTGTGAACACCCAGGTGCATGGAAAAGCCGTCTCTGGGTGTAGGAGCGTAAGACCATCAGGAGTGTAGACGTCACTCAAGCGTCATTCCTACCAGGAGTCTGATTAGTCCAGTGCATCTCACTCTCGCTGGGTTTCTGTTTCCCCAGCTGTCAGGAGATGGGAGTCGTGAACACTGAATGAAAATGGTTGTGTCATTCATAAGACTCAGTGAGAATTCAGTCATTGCTTTGGGAAAGAAGTATTATTGAGAAGTGCAGGAGGGGAAGAAAAGCACGTACTTCAATTTGTGCTACTACAAAATATGCCTGAATACTCTACTTTCGTCTGATTTCCAGATGCCTGTATGTCTATAATAGCTTCGGGATAATTTGAAAATCTGGTAAAGCTACTGCTTTCTGTTCACTCAAGTTCTAAAAACTCATATAGAATAATAGACATGACCTGTAAACATTGCCCCCTCAGAGAAAGTCATGGTTATACTTGGCAAACGATGGCCCACAGGACCAATCTGGCCCACCACCTGTTTTTGTAAATAAAGTTTTATTGGCACACAACCACACCCATTTGTTTAGAATGGCCTATGGCTGCTTTCCCACCACAACAGAGTTGACCAGTTGCAGCAGAGACCCATGGCCCTTAAAGCCTAAAATGTTTACTATCTGGCCTTTAGCAGAGAAAGTTTGCTGAGCTCTGCACTGAAGTATAACCCTGTATGTCAGTGAATCATTCATTCTTTATCTACCTCTCTGTTAAGCCCATAAACCCTTCATTCAAACTTGGCAGCCTAATATCTAATATAAAAACAGCTGGGCTACTGTGGTCGACACACTAAATATTCTCATGGAACTACCATCAGATTTCCCCCAAGCTGTTCTAATTCAAATATGACACACGCACAGCACATTGTCTTGGACATGGCTGGTCATCAGTACTGCTCATTGAATCATTAACATAATGTGTGAAGTGATTGCCAACCTTTAATGAGCAGTTTACTACCTGAGTTGGCTCATTCCATGCTCCCAAGACAGGAGGAAGGCCCTGGTACTGCCTCCTTCTCACACAGGAGGAAATGGAGCCCCAAGGAAGTTTCACTACTCTGCGTGGGGACCCACTGGTATGGACTGCAGGTGGGGGAGGAATCCAGGCCCTGGGTGGCCAGAAGCTACTGCCCTTTGACTCTCACATACTTCTCAAGAGTTCTGTGCACTCTCACCTTCCTGCTCCAGGGAATCTGATACATTCATTCCCGATTTTCTACCTTTGATGAGCTATCTGGTCAGGGGAAGCGCTCATTTGGAATTCTGTTACTCTCTGGGTCAGGCACTGTCTGCCATTATTAGTCACTAACAATGGCAGGAGTAATAACGTTCTGAGAGCTAACGTCCAGAGGAAATGTCGTTTGTGAGGAGGCTTGCATTGACTTGCCCTGTGTTTAACCCAGAGTGGCTAATGTGTATTTCAAATGCTCCCAAAGCAGACATGATGTTTTCCCCTTACTCATACACCAATAAGGTGGTGCCTGACCCTGGTGTAGCCCAGCTGCTGTGCTATATCTGGTCTCCCCAGTTCACAGAAGGAAATTTCAGAAACGCCAGTGTCTGCTGCCCTTCATTTGGAAACGTGCCAGAAAGCTGGATAGCTATGCTTCCCTGCAGGGTTTTCACTGGGTCTCTGGGGGTGAGGGGAGCCCCTAACAGGTTTGGTAATGCTCCAGGCAACAGTTATAGCTGGGGGAGCTAAGCCTGAGGCACACCTGTGGCTGTTGGGTGCATAAAAAGTGGCCATCCCGATTGTGAAGGTCCGTAAATCACATGCTAGATTCCAAAAACCTTCCCGAGAGAGAGAGAAAGCCAAGTAGCTCATCAGTATTTTTACATTGATTCTATGTTGGAACAATAACATTTTGGCCATATTGGAGTGAAAATAAATCGCTTAAATTCCTTTTACCAGTTTCTTTCTTTTAATGGGGTTACTAGAAAATTAGAAATGACCTGTGTGGCTCCCATTCCGTCTCCTCTGGACAGCGCTGGTATAGAAGGAAGAGAGGCTCGCGGTCTTTCCTTGTCCAACAAATTTCTTCAGAGAAAACTTTGCAAGAAGAATTGTTCCTGACTTTTTCTTTTTGTTTGCAGAGCACAGACAACAATAATTTGGGACGCCCACACAGGGGAAGCCAAACAGCAGTTTCCGTTTCATTCTGGTGAGTATTTTTATTTTTATTGGTTGATTGACTGATTGATTTGGTAATTCAAAAATGATTGAGTCCTAGGAAATGTTAGGGCAGAAGGGAAGGGGCCATCTGATCATTAGCATATCCCGAGGGCATTGAGCTGGCTTCTCTCAATTCAGTGCTGACTCACCTTTAAGAAACACACAAGACATGTTTATGCCAGTTGATGAGAATGTTGTCACCCAGAAGCTTAGTGGAACCCAAGCCTCTAATTCTCCTAGAAGCAAGGAGGTGTCAGGAGATACCAAGCAGTAGAGTGGGAGGTCAGGAGAAAGGGGATCACACCGAGCGTCCTCTCTTCACGTGTTCTGCATCCTCCAGAACTTCACACAGAGATCCCCCTCCTTTTCTGGGGATATATCGTCAGTGATAAGAGGAAATCCCCAAACTGTGTTTATCCAATGCTTGAAGAAGCAAACAGATGTGGTGTGAACTCTTTGTAAACTTTGACATGCTGAGTGATTTCAGTAGCACCAATTGTTTTCTGGACCAGGCTTCTGTTTTCCTCATTTGATGCATTGCTACTTCCCACTGTAGATGGCAGATTTCTCTGAGAACAGGAGTCAAGCCAACACACACACACACACACACACACACACACATGCCTCCAATGAGAGCCTGCAGAGCAGACAGAGAATTTACTTTGTGCCCGGGAGGGGCTGCCAGGCGGACATGATGATGTTATGTCCGAGTGACTGTGAACACCCAGGTGCATGGAAAAGCCGTCTCTGGGTGTAGGAGCGTAAGACCATCAGGAGTGTAGACGTCACTCAAGCGTCATTCCTACCAGGAGTCTGATTAGTCCAGTGCATCTCACTCTCGCTGGGTTTCTGTTTCCCCAGCTGTCAGGAGATGGGAGTCGTGAACACTGAATGAAAATGGTTGTGTCATTCATAAGACTCAGTGAGAATTCAGTCATTGCTTTGGGAAAGAAGTATTATTGAGAAGTGCAGGAGGGGAAGAAAAGCACGTACTTCAATTTGTGCTACTACAAAATATGCCTGAATACTCTACTTTCGTCTGATTTCCAGATGCCTGTATGTCTATAATAGCTTCGGGATAATTTGAAAATCTGGTAAAGCTACTGCTTTCTGTTCACTCAAGTTCTAAAAACTCATATAGAATAATAGACATGACCTGTAAACATTGCCCCCTCAGAGAAAGTCATGGTTATACTTGGCAAACGATGGCCCACAGGACCAATCTGGCCCACCACCTGTTTTTGTAAATAAAGTTTTATTGGCACACAACCACACCCATTTGTTTAGAATGGCCTATGGCTGCTTTCCCACCACAACAGAGTTGACCAGTTGCAGCAGAGACCCATGGCCCTTAAAGCCTAAAATGTTTACTATCTGGCCTTTAGCAGAGAAAGTTTGCTGAGCTCTGCACTGAAGTATAACCCTGTATGTCAGTGAATCATTCATTCTTTATCTACCTCTCTGTTAAGCCCATAAACCCTTCATTCAAACTTGGCAGCCTAATATCTAATATAAAAACAGCTGGGCTACTGTGGTCGACACACTAAATATTCTCATGGAACTACCATCAGATTTCCCCCAAGCTGTTCTAATTCAAATATGACACACGCACAGCACATTGTCTTGGACATGGCTGGTCATCAGTACTGCTCATTGAATCATTAACATAATGTGTGAAGTGATTGCCAACCTTTAATGAGCAGTTTACTACCTGAGTTGGCTCATTCCATGCTCCCAAGACAGGAGGAAGGCCCTGGTACTGCCTCCTTCTCACACAGGAGGAAATGGAGCCCCAAGGAAGTTTCACTACTCTGCGTGGGGACCCACTGGTATGGACTGCAGGTGGGGGAGGAATCCAGGCCCTGGGTGGCCAGAAGCTACTGCCCTTTGACTCTCACATACTTCTCAAGAGTTCTGTGCACTCTCACCTTCCTGCTCCAGGGAATCTGATACATTCATTCCCGATTTTCTACCTTTGATGAGCTATCTGGTCAGGGGAAGCGCTCATTTGGAATTCTGTTACTCTCTGGGTCAGGCACTGTCTGCCATTATTAGTCACTAACAATGGCAGGAGTAATAACGTTCTGAGAGCTAACGTCCAGAGGAAATGTCGTTTGTGAGGAGGCTTGCATTGACTTGCCCTGTGTTTAACCCAGAGTGGCTAATGTGTATTTCAAATGCTCCCAAAGCAGACATGATGTTTTCCCCTTACTCATACACCAATAAGGTGGTGCCTGACCCTGGTGTAGCCCAGCTGCTGTGCTATATCTGGTCTCCCCAGTTCACAGAAGGAAATTTCAGAAACGCCAGTGTCTGCTGCCCTTCATTTGGAAACGTGCCAGAAAGCTGGATAGCTATGCTTCCCTGCAGGGTTTTCACTGGGTCTCTGGGGGTGAGGGGAGCCCCTAACAGGTTTGGTAATGCTCCAGGCAACAGTTATAGCTGGGGGAGCTAAGCCTGAGGCACACCTGTGGCTGTTGGGTGCATAAAAAGTGGCCATCCCGATTGTGAAGGTCCGTAAATCACATGCTAGATTCCAAAAACCTTCCCGAGAGAGAGAGAAAGCCAAGTAGCTCATCAGTATTTTTACATTGATTCTATGTTGGAACAATAACATTTTGGCCATATTGGAGTGAAAATAAATCGCTTAAATTCCTTTTACCAGTTTCTTTCTTTTAATGGGGTTACTAGAAAATTAGAAATGACCTGTGTGGCTCCCATTCCGTCTCCTCTGGACAGCGCTGGTATAGAAGGAAGAGAGGCTCGCGGTCTTTCCTTGTCCAACAAATTTCTTCAGAGAAAACTTTGCAAGAAGAATTGTTCCTGACTTTTTCTTTTTGTTTGCAGAGCACAGACAACAATAATTTGGGACGCCCACACAGGGGAAGCCAAACAGCAGTTTCCGTTTCATTCTGGTGAGTATTTTTATTTTTATTGGTTGATTGACTGATTGATTTGGTAATTCAAAAATGATTGAGTCCTAGGAAATGTTAGGGCAGAAGGGAAGGGGCCATCTGATCATTAGCATATCCCGAGGGCATTGAGCTGGCTTCTCTCAATTCAGTGCTGACTCACCTTTAAGAAACACACAAGACATGTTTATGCCAGTTGATGAGAATGTTGTCACCCAGAAGCTTAGTGGAACCCAAGCCTCTAATTCTCCTAGAAGCAAGGAGGTGTCAGGAGATACCAAGCAGTAGAGTGGGAGGTCAGGAGAAAGGGGATCACACCGTGAGGTTAGGGGGCCATCCCCATCCAAGACCCTCAACAGAGTTCTTGGGGCCACTTGGACCTCAGAAAGACCCAAGAGTCACTGAGAGTGTTCATCACAGTCCTGAGCCGTCAACCCAGTTGTGTCCCCAGAGGGGTCTTGTCAGCCATGAGTATCCAGCCCTCGGGTGGGATGCATTAATGTGTTTGCAGATTTTTTAAATTGGGATATCTTGAATACAGGATATGAGATCTTCCTGTTCTCATTTTCTCTCTCTGTCTAAAGCAAGTGAGGTTGGACATCCACAGGGACATGCCTGGGACCAACAGAGTGCAGGAGCAGGCATCTCATGCTTCTCACCCACCTGTGCTCACCTGGGCCAGGGGAGCAGGATGCTGTTCATGCAAATGGGAAGCATCCCAGGGTCTCTGCAGAGCATCTGCTCATCCCTCCAAATGTGGAAGGAGAGGTCTTTAAGGTCTGTGAGGGGAATAGGTTTGTGTTCACACTGGGGAACTTTTTATCATGTTACTAGATAAGGCTTCTTGACTACGCTGTTCATGGTCAAAGTCAGCCAAGTTGTGTGCACACCTAGTTGATGCCAATGTCCTACCTCTGCTCCCCATTCCACAGCCCCTGCTCTCGATGTAGACTGGCAGAACAATACCACCTTTGCCTCCTGTAGCACAGACATTTGTATCCACGTCTGCAGACTCGGCTATGACCACCTGGTCAAAACCTTCCAAGGACACATAGTAAGTTGGAGTTCCAAGTATGCCCCTTTGGCACTGGGCTCCTGTAGCTCTCTTGGGTTGGATTAAACCCGTTACGGGCCGGCAGTGAAGAAAAAAACTGACCATGAGATGAGCCAGATGTCAGATTCTGCAGGGAAGACTATATAGTAGCTACTGTAAAAGGTACAAGGACGTAAAGGAAAGGATGCTCATAATGGGTGAATAGATGGGGAATGTCAGCAGAGAAAGGAAAACTCTTCTTAAAACAGTCCAGTGGAAATCTGAGAACTGAGGGGTTTAATGTCTGAAATGAAAATCTTCCTGGACAGGTTTAACAATGGGGAGATTGCAGAATTAAGGTTACTGAACCTAAAGAGAGCTTAGCCAGTTTTGATAACAGATTGAACAAATGACTAGAGGCCTGTTACATAGTGGCCAAATGAATAACCTGTGGCACAGTATGAAGCACTCTAGCGTATATGTATAATGGAGAGAGAGCGAAAAAAATGGAACAGAAACATTACTTGAAGCAATAATGGCCAAATGTTCCTAAATTTGGTAAAAAATGTTGACATTTAATCCAAGAAACTCAGGTGCCAGCTGATGTCTCTGAATTCATGGCACATGAGGCTCTTCAGAGACTTCCCAGAGCTGATCCCTGTAATGTCCCAACACCCTCAAACTTCAACCTCCTAGAAGGCCTGCTGGGTTTGAGAACCTCATACCTGCAATGCGCCCCACCTTTAACCCCTGCCTTGCCACTTATGTAACCATATAAATGCCATTGTCCTGGGTACTTGTTCATGTCCTTAACTCGCCTTCTCCAGCCTCTGTCCCCATAGGTCCCTGCTTGTGAAAGAAGGTGCTTTTAGGGCCCAGGCATCAGTCTCCTTGTGGCTATCAACTGGTCCTTCTTTTTATTTTTCTGGCCTGTACTCTTCTTTCCTCCAACCCTAGACTATCCCCAATATTTCATGGGAAATCCTTACAATCTGCAGCTGTCCAACTTCCGCTTGGGACTTTACTGCCACCACACCACTTGGCTCTCTAAATCCATCTCGCTGCAGCTTCCATCATTCTGCACGAGACGTGAGCTAAGTGTAGGAGAGCCGGTGTCTTCCCGAGACCCTGTGAGCCATTTCTGGATGCCTTCTGGGAATTGTGGCTGGGGTTGCATGGGGAGGGGGAGACAACTCCACACCCAGGGAGGAGTTTGTTCCCCGCTGGAGGATGGAAGGTGGGCTCGGCTGAACACAGCTGGTGGGGACCAGGTCCGCGTTCCTGGGCTCTAGGAGACCTGTGCGTGGGTTTGCACCCAAGCTGCCTTCGTCCTGGCTGAGCCTGTCTCTGGGTGGGCACCTCATGAGGCCCCTGGTTCTCACCATGTCCTCCGGGTTTCCGCCTCTTCACGCACGCGCGCACGCACACACACACACACACACACACACACACACACACACGGACCCACACCCATCTCCAGGCTGACCTCTTCGTCCTCCCATGCTCACCCCGAGGGGCTTCTCTATGGTCTCCAAGCTCCCTTCCTCCCTTTTTTCCAGGCCATCCAACCATTGATACCACAAGGGAACACAGATGGGTGGCCTTGTCACTTCACACCCTTCAAACTCTCAGTGTCCTTAGCAAGAAGCACAACTGTAAAATTGCTCATCCACACCAGAGCATTTAGGAGCATAAAGTTAATTGGGAAATTACGAGTGTGAAGTTAGTTCATGGTTAGGCCAGCACAGCAGCCATGAGTTCTATGCAGATGGGGCTCTCCAGTCACCATACTTAGAAATTTCCGAGACCCACTGCCTTGCTCCCACGTTTCCCCACAGCTCACTACGCGCAGCATGATGTCCTCCGCCTCCACATTTGGCATCTGGTGGCGCCTGTCCCTTGGGGTGCATTTGCCTTCATCCTTCAGGACTGAGCCTCAGGGTTACCTGGCGCTGAACTGGAAGGCTGCCTACAGCCTCATTTCTCCCCCGCCCCTTAGCACATACCTGCCAGAACTTTACCCTTGCACTCTATTGCAACATTTTGCTTACCTGCTCTTCGCTCTGGATTTCAAGCCCCCTTCCCATGGAAGGTTTTGTTTCTCCCCTGCGTGTTTACCTATAATTTCCCTTGGCCATCTGTGCTCATGCCTTATTTCTTTACATCTTCTACCCCCATCCCCACCCCACTCAGCACCAAGAGAAAGGTCTTGTAGGGATTTTTTTTTTTAATTTATGTAAGCTTTATTCTGTTACAATTTTAACTGCCTGTTTCTCATTGAACTTAGAAAAATAAACATTAAACTATTTTACATACATACAAAGGGATATATATAATGTTAAAGTATATAGAATACCAAAGTTTGCTGACTGTAAATCTATCACTAATCAATCCTAAGAAACAGAGTATTATCAATCCCACTGAAGTCCCCAGTATCCTCTTCCCTGCTTCTCAAAGGTGACTGTTACTCTAGATGTAGAATTCTAGATCCCTTTTTTTTTTTTGAGAGGGCATCTCTCATATTTATTGATCAAATGGTTGTTAACAACAATAAAATTCAGTATAGGGGGGTCAATGCTCAATGTACAATCATTAATCCATCTCAAGTCTAATTCTCGTCAGTCTCCAATCTTCTGAAGCATAATGAACAAGTTCTTACATGGTGAACGAATTCTTACATAGTGAATAAATTCTTACATGGTGAACAGTACAGGGCATTCATCACAGAAACTTTTCGGTTTTGATCATGCATTATGACCTATAAACAATCAGGTCAAATATGAATATTCGTTTGATTTTTGTACTTGATTTATATGTTGATCCCACATTTCTCCTATTATTATTATTATTTTTATTTTTAATAAAATGCTGAAGTGGTAGGTAGATGCAAGATAAAGGTAGAAAACATAGTTTAGTGCTGTAAGAAGGCAAATGTAGATGATCAGATGATCAGGTGTGTGCCTATGGACTAAGTATTAATCCAGGCTAGACAAGGGCAGCAAGACATCCACGGATGCAGAAGATTTCTCTCAAAGCAGGGGGGGTGAGGTTCTGAGCCTCACCTCTGTTGATCCCCAAATTCTCACCTGATGGCCCCCCTGCGACTGTGCCTGTCTTAGGTTGTTCCTCCCTTGAGGAATCTTACCCGTCTCTGGCTAACCAGTCATCTTCCGGGGCCATACAGGGAAATGTAAAGTTGGTAAGTGAGAGAGAAGCCATATTGTTTGCAAAGGTTAGCTTTTTACTTCTTTGCAGATTTATGCCCTGTGGCTTCTATGCCCAGCA